GAGATGACAGCTACTTATGATGGCGGAAACTGTCGCAGCTGCTGCGCGAACCTAATGGCAACCATGTTCAAATTCACCTTGTGGAAAAACTGGAAAATCCCGAAAAAGATAGCTAAAATCTTAGCTTGAAAAAACGAAACACAGAAACCGTGAAGGGCTCTGCAGGCCTTGGGTACATGAGAATTACTGTAGAAGAGTGGCTCAAGGACAAGAAGTCGGGCTGCAAAGTGGCATTCATCACAGGAACCCGTGGTAAGCTCCATACTATATCATCAATGTCTTGGACAGCCAGCCTCAGCACCAGCTGAGTCGTGAGGCTCGATTGCATGCGTGACGTGGCTGGTAAAGCGACGCCTCTCACATCAAAAAATCTCTGCTTACCTCATAACTGTCTTCGTTCAATAATGTCAGATTCTTGGCTAGCATCGCTAAAACGCACATGTATGTGCGCTCTCTTTTCGTGAATTTCATGCGTAGGTGCAGAAATCCGGAATTGCGCAACATACCTAAGCCTAAGCCTAACATTCGCTTTTGGGGTTGGCGCTATGGGCCGCAACTTGGCAAAAGTGGGCAGCAGCTTGATCAACATGCGAACAGCAATATGTCAACATGCTTCAGGACTGCACTGGGCCGCCCCTGCATCTGCACCATTTGTGCATCCATAATGAAGAAATCCGAACTTTTGCAACAAGTGGCATGTCGAAGTCGACGTAAAGCCCCCCATGGTGATAAAGCACCTGGAGGGCCACCGCACAGAGTTGTTCCACCCGCCTACGTATGACGCCATCAGCTGGGTGTTGACTGCGCGGACACGAATTTCAGAGCAAAAGCGCGGCGTATCGAATGAAGTCCGACTTTGCAGCAGGATATGGCATCCGAAAATACTCCTCCCAGGCAAGGCCAGAAAACGCCCAAGTACTACCGGTAGTGTCGATGCTGCGAGAATGCTTCTGAAATGCGAGTGACAATTATAGCGAAGTTTCTGATAATCCAAGTTGAAGGGATGCAAGCAGTTCTGCAAATATCACGAGCCAGCAGGAGTGCTCCTCAGGTATATCCGGAATCACTTGACGAACATTCTCATCTGTGATGAGGAAGGGGTCATTACAAAGACCATGAGAATGCCGGCGCCATGCTTCGAGGACCTCACCCAGTGCGTCACAGATGCTCTGAAGACGAAGGGCGTCATGCAGAATATGCATCGACGCGTTGCTGGATGGTTAGCAGCGTCAACTCTCCGCTTTTAAGTGCTGCCGCAAGACTAGCCGCTGAAACAAAGGCTGCTGGTCCAGCGACTTCCTGGGCTTGGCTCTGCTCTGCTGACGCTCTTGAATAATGCGCAGTCATCTCAGTGACAACAGCAACGCAGTGATGGTTCACCAAACTAGGGCCAAGAAGGACCCTAGACTGCCAGACAGTTCATGACGTACTTTTCCTGTCAGCTATCGTCTGTGTCTCTCGCAGAGGTCATGTGGTTTTGCGGGGGTCTCCCGCTCAGCACTGGCAGATCGGCTAACCCTTCCCCTAGGACCAACTATTTCGGAGAATGCGGTAGCTGAAAAAAAAATCAAGAACAGGAGTAAGTGTTGTTACTCTGGACTGTGTGGCGCTGCGAATATAATGCATCGTTTGTGGGATGCAACTATAGTTGCTAGCTATTCCAAGAACCCATGTCTAAGGAAGTGGAAGCCGACCATGACGGCATTTGTTCAAAACACGTTGGCGTCTTTCTATACTGCATGTTCGGGTTGTACATGATTAGTAATGCACATGGATGCATATGACACATCTTTGCACGACATACGAAAACTGTATGCTAGTATGTATTAAATATTGGCGTCCACACTTCATTGAAGGTAGTATGCGTGTGAAATTGACTGAAGAAGATTGAGTGATATGGCGGCTGGCAGTCTATTCATCTTGCTGGGCTGCAAAGCATGGTCAATCATTGTGGCGTTGTGCTCACAGAAACACTGCCGATGGAAATCCCGCAACAACATCTATCACGCATGCCATATCGCCATCTTCCCAGTCTTTGATGTTATCTGGAGCCCCCATGCAAACCTTATTGTCGTGTAAGTGCGGACCGGCGCGCAACAGGCATGTTGCATGGTTTGCGCAACATGTCCTCATAAACCGTTAACGATGCCTTCAGCATTCTCCAATTATATGAAGGTTTATTGTTCAATGCATCTCCTCTTCTAAACTGGCCTAGAAACTAAATCTATGCATATATGTAGTGTTCACCACACCAACGTAATGCATCTTCTTCTCGGATGATGGAATCCGATGGGAGACCGCCACCATTCATGCACGAACTATGTACGCTCACCTGTGTAGGCCACCATCTGCATCTAGATGTTCTTGCAGATTCCGCGAGGTTTTCTTAGATATCCTTCCGCAACGTTTTCCTAAATATCCTGCTTTGCACATGGATTGCCCTTCTGCACATATTGTTCATGAATTGCTCCCAAATACAGTATGTGGTTTAAGTTTCCGGGAGTTCGAGCGCGATTTCATGCGATTTCAATTTTGCCCCAGAGATGCTTCGCTGCTATCTTGTTCTTGACATATTCGTCGCATCTTTGAGCCACATTTGGCAAATGTAGCACCTGTAAGAGTGTGTCCACAAGCATTCCGTCAGTCTTAAAGAAGGTTCCACTTGCAGACTCAAGTCTTGCACTGCAAGCCGTTCCCATCCAAAGATGAAAGAATCATCTACAAACCCTGCAAGCGGAGATTTCATCAGACATGCTCAAAACTCCATGGCATTCTCCAGCAAGCACTAATATCATTGGCAATGCCACAACAAAAAACTTAACTTAGTTGTTTGTTCTTGTAAATGGCGCCCTGCAATGCACATTTGCTCGTAGAATCGCCGATCTATCCAATGTTTTTCTTGCGGTGCTCTTCCATGTATCGAGTCATATCCCGAGGCGCCCTTATTCTGAGTCTAAGAACTTGTCTGTAAACCTATGCAAAGCTTCCCAAAATTCATCAATTGCTGGCCCTTGTATGTCTGATTCTGCGGAAAACGTTTGATGGTATGCCCTTGTTCTGAGTCTAAGAACTTGTCTGTAAACGTATGCAAAGCTTCCCAAAATTCATCAATTGCTGGCCCTTGTCCGTCTGATTCTGCGGAAAATGTTTGATGGTATGTGTGGACAGCTTTGATTCTATGCTAGCTACAGCTCTTTTGACACAGAAGCTATCTTAAACACAGATGCACATCCTAACGTAAGGTAACGCATCGAGGTTGGTCCTTGAGGGCACAACTATGTCATGCCTACATGCATATCTGATACAGATATACCGATGTACCTGTATATGGTGAGAACCTGAAATGACCTCACCAAGTCGCGGCTTCTCCCACATGCTGAAAATATTGCATTTGTCGGGATCTAATCGGCTCACGTCATCGACGAAGTTGCCAAGGTCGGGGGTCTTGGATGAGCATTGCTAGATTCTGGGAAGTGGCTAGTGCATGCTAGTGCCAAGTCGCTGCAGCAAGTCTGCCAGCTATTGCCAAGTGCTATGATCCCCGGAGCAGCTTAAGAACTGTTCGAGCATGTGTTTGGGCTAGCACTCTGCCCCACAGACACTAGGCGTTTTCGACGTGTGGGATCTGAAGTTTTGTTTGAGGACCAGGACAGCCTGGCCGACAGACTTTGCTTCCATCTTCGGCCAGGGTCTACCCAACCGACCAAGAATGTCTGCTGAGAGGCATGAGGATGCCCTTGTGGATCGACGGCAAGCTGCATAGAAGCTCCCGGCAACTTCCCGTTGTGGACAGCGCGCTGCACGGATCCTGAGCAAATCCCTATATACTGCTGGCATGGCCTGTAAGCCTTCACACATGTCATCAAAACTGCATTGCGTTGAGCCGGATGATGCTATGGATGCGGGCAAGAGGCTCACAAGATAGTGACGATCGCTTGTGGCCTCAAATGCAGAACCCGAAGTGCACATTCAATGAACTCCAATCAAGCCCAACATCGTTGACAGAGTATGTCTGGCCTCAGTGCGAGGCTTTCAGTAAAAGGTCAGGCGTTGAATGGCCCTTCAATGGTGGGATATGCTGTGCTCTAGATGTCTGCCAGGACGCATCTGTGCTTTCGGCAGCACCTTTGCATGAACTTCTGAGTCATATGCACCAGCTCAAGGAGGAAATTCACAAGCTTGGCTCAACCCGCCTGACTTGTGCAACCAGTATATGCCACAGGCAACCTCGTTTGAAGATCTGCTGAGAAAGTGACAAGTGGTTGGCAGCTTTCAAGTTTCTTTGATTCTTCAAGTCGCCAAGGCTCTGCTTGCAGGCTCAGCCTCGCCCAAGACATCGCCAACGGCTTGATGAGCTTGCAGCCACTGCTTCAAGGAATGCACTCTCACCCTCGTGAGCAGTGAGACATCACGCTGGCCTTCAGAATCCGGACTGCCCGAAACAAAGCCAAATTGAGCGATTCGTCCACTTCGAGGCTGTAAATACGTGCCAGCACATCACATCGCATTACATTGCCGGACTCTGGGAGGCAGTCTCCACGGAAGCCTGACTTAACAACCTGTTCATGAGCCAAGTCCCGCGGAACTCAAGCCTGCGGTGCACTGCCGCTCACATGCCGAACCTGCCAGACTCACAATACTGTAGCAGCCGAATTTCACCTGAAGCATGCGTTGCCCCGCTGATAGATGTCGAGCATGAATGCGGGTAGGTGATGACAGCTCATCAACAATAAGCCACGAATGGCATTGAAACCGCTGGCGATGGCAACGACAATATTGATGATGGATTGTCATTTGAAGTCAGAACTTCGTCCATGCTCGCCAGCGGCTTCCCCGAAAAATGTGTTAGTACAATTCTTGTTGTAAGGATTACTGAGTACTAGTGCTGATAAACCGAAGCTGAATGTTGATGTAATTCTGAATGTTCGTGGAAATATTTGGAGTTCCAGCCCAGCACTTCTCTGAACAGCAGCACAATTCCAAGGGCACAACCGTCGGTCCTGCTTTAACGTCCTGACGGGACAGGAAGCAGCAAGGCATCACAAGCAAGAGCAAGGTTGATGATGCTCAGACGTACTGCTGCAATATACTACATGCAACATCTTGTAAGGCTAAGACCTTGTAGGTGGCTGTTCCCCACACAGAGCTTCCGAGGTGCTCAGACAAACTAAGTTTGCAATGTTTTTCAATGATAACCGAAGCCCCCTCAAGATCAAAGATGAGCCCGTGCGACTACACGCAGGCATTAATTCAAAGATGCTGCGAAAGGGTGCTGCTGCGATGGCAGGGTTCACAGCTGAAATCATAGTTGCGAGATTCGCTTGTAGGGAACAAACCCTGCTAGGGATGTTAAGGCAAACTTGCTCTCGCAAGGTCTCGGACTCAAGTCCCACCCACATATGCACCACTCATATATTTGCCACTTCATTGCGATGGCCTGATCTCCTGGCCCCACTGCTGCTCGGTTTTCGAGAGAAGTTGGGCTACCGCCTGGGCCAAGCGCTCACGAAGCGAAAGAAACAAAGACATCAAAACGTGGACGTGCTTGGCCTCAGCCGTGAGAGCTGGCTCTGAGGATTCTGGAGTTTGCAGGCCTCTCATTGCGCAAAATTCTCGATGCTCAATGGTGCTTTATGTTGAGGGCTGCTGCAAGCTTGCTGAAGTTAACTTATCTGCGCAACATGCTGGCCATCCAGATGTGCCAGAAGCTGATCAAGACGCTCATCCATCGCCATCATCGTCTGGCCTCTGCAACCACGCTCTAGTACATCCTACTGGGACTACTGCACTTGACAACCTTAAGTTGTAGTGACTGCACACCTGCAAAACTGCCAAACAAGCAGAATACAAGAGATCATGGTTGCAAACTGATGCGTAGCTTATCCCGTTTAGCTTGCCGATTTGGCAATGGCGATGAGGCTTCTTGACGTTCCTTGACGGCGTGCAAAGTTTGAGTCTCCCAAGCGGGTTTGGAGCTTGGTACGACCGCATGTAGAGTGCACTCCGATATCTTTTGAACATGCCGAGCTCAAGATGAGAGTCTTTGACTTTCGTTTGATCTACAATGCTAGCTGAAGCTGCAGTATTTGCTTCTGGAAATTGTCGGTGTCGGATGCATTGTGGCTCTCCGCAACAGGTAGGTATTCAGCTCAGTAATTCCTGGGGCCTCTGTCTGTCGAATTGCCAAAGGCTGTGCCAGATGATTACTCGGGCAACGGTGTCTCGTGCACGCGGTCTTGATGGATCGGGAACTTCGAGTGAAATCATCCTCGCATGTCCTCGTCGGGTTCCTGTAGGGGTCAAGTGACATGTTTTGCAATATAGATAATGTGGAATGTTGTATGTACACACCGGGAAAGGTTTACAAATGAGTCACGCTCAATTGCTTGTTTTTGTGTCTCCTTGTTATGCTTTCTGTTCGGTCTGTTGCAGGGATTATGGGTCGCATACCTGCACCCCGCCCCCTCATGGCCATGGCAAGCAGAATTCCCATTTAAGCATCCTCGACCCCGACAGAATCTGAGATACGCTGGGCATGAACAAAAAACATGTCTCCACCTTAACGGTCTTTACCGATGTCCACAGACAGGGGCCTTGACAGGAGACTACAGGAGACACCCACCGATACGGGATGGCTCTGACATGCCCTGGCTGCCCTGGTGGCGGCATTGAATGTAGCACTCAGTGTCACTGAGTGTGGGACGGATCTGTTTAAGTTCCATTTTTACCTGTCAATGGGCAGCGCTGATTTTGCAAAGCTGCCTGCATGCAGAAAGTCAAAAGATGCGTGGCGCACGAAGCACTGCAATCACTGCAACCCAACCATCATGCTCTAGCACTAGCACTGCTTAAAATGCTGGAGTCCATTTGCTCACTAGCGGCGCTAGAAGTAGTCTCGTCATCAGACCACTCTGCAAGCGGGGACAAGTCCCCCTCCCGAGGTAGCATAACATCGGCGAGAAACCTACGAACCTTTGAGTGACCCCGCTCAAGCGCCAGGATGAATGGTGTCGCACCACTTTGGCATGCAAGACATGGGCTCGCACGCGACCTCACAAGCAGTTCCACAAGGTCATAGTCACCTTCACCTGCAGCTACGTGTAGCGGCGTCCATCCATCATCGTCCTGCCGCTCTGCGTCTGCACCTCTTTCAAGGAGTAGAGCTGCCACGTCTGAGCGGCCAGTACTTACAGCCAAGAACAGGGGCGTCCATCGGTCTTGATGGCCGGCATCGGGATTCACATCGCTATCAAGCAATCGCCTGACCAATTCAAAATGGCCTCTTTGGGCAGCAAAGCTTAAAGCTGTCCAGCCAGCGAAGACCAAATGCGGGTCTGCACCTCCTTCAAGCAACACATTCGCAAGGTCCAATCGGCCTTTTTCAGCGGCGCACATCAAGGCCGTCCTCCCCTCACCTTGCCTCGTGTTCACATCTGCGGCACATCTTACGAGGCAGTCGACCGCACTCAACTGCTGATACTGCACGGCCAAATGCAGCGCACTGCAACCATCTTTGCTCTTCCTCTCGATGCCTGCGCTCTTGGAGAGCAGAAACTGGACAACATCAGCGTGCCCGGCTCTGGATGCAGAGTGCAGTGGGGTCTCATCATGCTTATCACCCATGTCGATGTCAGCGCAGGCATCGTACAGGACATCAATGACATGCTCGTGGCCTGCCTTGGAAATTAAGTCATGCAATTGAAAAAGTCACTCATGACCAACTAAAGTTCGCTGTCCCTACAACCACCTCCCTTGCGTGCCTGACCTGGTTGACTTGATCAGATTCACTCAAAACTTTGAGTGCCACTAGAGAGTAGCTGGTACATTGATATCCGAGACACACTGGGATGGCACATGATGGCACTGGATGTTTGCTACATTCAAAGCTTGGCTGCCATGCGCATTCTCTTGTCTCTGCTTTGGACAGACTCATGGCAAAGCCTGTCCTACAGTCACGACATGTCATGACTTTACGTAGGAAACCAGCAGGTCTGCGCATGTTTGCGGACCTTAGGCGCAACTTCCCCCAAACCCAGGCAGCACAGAAGACTTGAATAAGCATGCCGGGAGTCGACTGTTCACTGTGTACGGCATAAGCAAGTTTGAAGCCCATCTGACCCACCTGCTTAAAATTCTGCTGGGTTGCTGCCGCCGCATGCCATGCCGCCGTCCGGCAAAAGCGGTCTGTGCTGTTCGGGTCTTGCCCACTTTGCACAGCGGGAAGCAAGCTATCAAGGTCACCGTTGACTGCTGCCTGCAGCATCGCAGCCTGGTGCTGGCTAGTCACCTCCTGATGTAGTATGACTAGGTTCAGGTGCAAAGGGCTCCCCAGGGATGTCCAAGAAGCGTCATCCAGCACGACGCTACTGCCGCACACCAGCTGCAAACGAAATCGAGAGATGCCAATCTTGTCGCGTATCTGCTTCTTGATAAGGCATATAAGTCCTCCGCGGAGACATCTGCAATGAAGCCGTCAGCACAAGCAATTGACTTCACATGACAAGCAGCGCGAAAGAGTTTTGGGTGTATCGGTGTATCTGATAGATGCAAAATCAAAGCAGCGAACTCGAATGCAGTCACGCCTGAAGTAGACCAGCTATGAAATGTGCAAGGGGGATCAAAGCGACACCCCCGCATCCGATACCTGCAATACCGCGTTTTGTTGGCGTGTCTAGCTTGTACTATGTCATCCTTGTCGCATTCTTGTTCCTTTTCTCTGAACTGCCCTCTCTGGACCGTCGCTCTCTGTGCTGAGTCAAGAATTCCCACCGTCACAAAGACCCTCCTATCTGTCGCCGTTTTGGGAGCCTCCGAACTCCGTATCTTGTCAACGAGGTCAACAGTCATGGGGATTGGAGCGTGTCGCGGTCACCATGCTAGTAACTGTCGTCATTGCTGAAGCAGGGACGACGGAGGGTGACGGGGCAGAGAGGAGGACAATCAAGAAGGAGGAGACGGTCTTCCCTCACGTCATGCCTGTAGTGACAAGATGTAACAAAAGGTACAGGTGGATTGAAACTTTGAGCCTGGGCTGGTTTGATGACCATCCCGGCAAGACTCCCATAAATGCTAACTTGCGGCTGCAGCTTCGTAACGCTGCACTCCAATGCTAACACCATCTAACACTTTTTCAGATGTCCAGGTCGATTCTCTGGACATTACCCACAGTAGGTGAACAACCTCCATGGAGGACCATGGCCCACTCAATTGGCCGGGCTACGGCGTCTCTCTCATGCTGGCGGCACAGAGAAAGGTATGACATGGGGCACTGGCAACTCCTGCGTCGGCTTCCCCGTGCCAGTTGCGAGAATGGGAACGCGCGAAGCTGTCGGCGAACGTCGGCGACACGCAAACTCTGCGCAAGCTGTTGCAACTGCTTTGCGAGCACAAATGAGCGGCTTCTGGTCAACTCCTTAACTCCTTACACCCAGGGAACCCATCAGTACTTCGGGCTGTACGAAACATGTCGCAGCGAGTTTGAAGCACGAGATACATTCAACACTTTTCCAGACTGTGCTATGATCTCATCTCAACCATTTGTCGGCTAAACCGTGCAAATTGTACAATATGCTTGGGCATTGGATCTTCGGAAACTTGGAGAACTTGGCTCCTGAATGCTAAGCTACTCGAGCATGTTCCCAGAATCCAGGCAAACCTTGTCCTTTCGGGGTTCGGGGCGTGCGCCAACAAGAATCTAGATATTAGATGAGATGATGCAATCCAGCACTCCTGAATGCTCTGCAGCGCGGGATGGCTCCTGAGCAAGAACAAGTCAAAATCAACACGCAGCATGACCTTGCGTGATACCATTTCACGCCAACAGGTGCTATGAGGTCCAAGCGGCGACTTCCAGCACCAGCTCGCCGGTGAGCAAATACACTTTAAGCATCGTTCCCGTTAATCATCAGCCGCTGCAGGTCCGCACAGCGTGCCATGGCATTACAGCATAATTACAAATGAAGTTTGCCTGCGCATAGGCGCTTTACACGGTACATCAGGTATCGGCCGGACCTTCTCAGGCCCTGCTGAAAGGAGATTATATAGAAGCACTACACGAACTTCTGTAGAAAAACAAATTCAAAGTGAAGATCAGAACGAAGCCGCTTCCTTGCACAAACATGAGAATAGTGTTCCTCTGGCGCTTGGGCCGAGCAAGATGAAATTCTCGCTGGAAACCTACACTAACCGTTGCCGAGAGGAGCGTCTGAGTCTCATGACTGTGCGGCGCAGCCCTTGTAAAGCTTGTTAGATCCTTATTCGTTTGTACACGCCAAAACCGGTTGGGCCAGCAAGAAACGGTGCGCGCATCGCGTCTCTCAGACTCAACTGCAACTGCAACAAAGTTGTCGGCAGAAGAAACCAATCCCCTTTCAAGCAACATGTGATACGCTGCCTTGGATTCAGTGTCGATGCGCGCGTTTTCGATAAGACGAGCCACCTGCCGAGGGGGAAGGACCTTCCCGCCCAGCTCCAGCAAGCTGGCCGGTTGCGCACATGTAAGTGAAAGACACTGCGCGCTCTTCTCCACCATTTTCCGCTCACACGTGCGATTAATCTAAACAATCAGCGGCGGAACCCACTGTGGTGGGGCGTGCCTGATGGAGCACTTGAATTGGCGCTACACTCTTGTTGTCTCTTGCCCCAAAGATCTACGACTTCGGCACAGTTGACGAAGACTTGTGCAGCCAAGATACCAGGCAACTCGTGATTTGAGCACGCCTGATGAGAAATGCTCCGGCATTCCACGCTCGGCCAGTCAAGAAAATTCGACCATCAGCAATACAACTAAAAATTGGAAGCTCCAACGCGCCTGTGGGCACACCGTGGCCTCACTGCATGGATTCACACCTTTCGATGCATCATGGCACGATAACTAGCATCGACGGCTTGCACTCACATGATTCATCAAGGAATCCCGCCTCAGGTCACTTGGAACCCTCTCTCTCTCCCTAAATACCTCTCCGCCCCCTGACCCCCGCCCCCCCCAGCGCTTGCTTTCGCTATGTACCATGTTGAAACGCGCATGACGCACCTGCTGCGCTACAAGCTTCACGTTCGACAGAGACTGTGGGGCTGTCCAATACCTGTTTCCTTCCAGGCAGAAGATGGCAGAAAAAGGATGGCCAAAAAAAAACTCGCGTCAATCCTTCAGAAGAGATTGTCTTTCGGGAGTCGGCAGCCCGACAGCCTCGGGGGTGCACGTACGTCCATACGCGCGTTCGGCGTCAGCAAACAGGCGGTGCTTTGCCTCCAGGGCCCAGTCCTCCCAAAACAACATTTTCCAAACTTAATTGGGGGGCCCCTTGTTACATGGAATGGGAGTCTTCTGCCAGTGCAGTCACATGTCCAACCACCAATGCATGATGCCCAAGGCTCTAGTGTGACGACTTTCAGCACCTCTGTGACTGAAAAACAGACAAGAGACACCTGACTGCCTTGCTGTCTGTACCATTCTGAGGACAGTGAAGCACAGGTGGAGCTTTGAGATCAGAACCCCCCATAAATTATCCGGTAAGCCTGACTATGACTAGATTATGAGGCAAGACGGGAAGGCACGGCATGATCATGCTCTGAGATGCCATGACGTGCTTCAAGGCAGATACTGAGAGCCAAACAGGGTGATCTACTGTCGAAATCACCTGCTAAGGTGGCAACTGCCTCTCAAGCTCAACTTTAACCCTCATGACGAATAACCATTTTGAAGAGCGTCTAAATGCACGATTTGTTGTTGCTTGGGCCAAATTGGTTTCAAGTGCCCTGACGCAATGCTGCGCAATTGCGGCTCCAAACCCCTGAGCACGAGACCTCGGAAGCGAGGAGCTTCACGAGGGCAATTTCGTATTGGCAGCTTGCTTGCGCTCCTGGCACATGTCGCAGCTGAGCACAGCTGCACATAGCAGCACCGGTATCAGAGCGTTGCACAAGGCACATGTTGCTCCTATTTGGGGCGTCCTGGCGGCTGTCCCAGAACTGCTGCAGCTTCGAGGAAAACTAGAAGGCCAACACTGCCGACTGCGCCTTGGCCTGGTCAAGCAATGCCCGCATCGCGTGGAAAGAGGAGATGTTGCAAAAAATCGGACTTAGGAGCGTGTGGCCCTAAGGACACGCCTCCTCCTTCTTTGCCTCGGCCTTGGCCAACAGCTCTTTCTGCGAGGCAACTCGGGCCTTCCACGGGTCAAGTGCACGCACAGCTGAATGCATGCTAGAAACCTGAACCCATGCAGGGTTTTGTCCGGATCTCTGGCATACTTTTCATCTGCATGTGCGGAAGCTTCTGGACTGTGCTGGTGCTGGACCCCACCTGCGCAAATGACTCATCCTCTGGAAGCCAAAGCTTGAAATCCTCTGCTCCATCCTGAAGGCGAAGCAAACCATGCAAACCCACAATTTCTCAAGCAGGTCGCATGCTCCTAGAACAACGTCACAGAAATTAATAACCTACTGTCTGCCATCTCGGATCTAGCGCTTACAACTGCGATTGTTCAAGGCGGAGGCCAACCGTGTCCTTCACCCAGCGATTGCCAGGAAACTTCAACACAAACATGAAGCGATGAGTCACCTCCTCCTTGGAACGCCCAGCTTGCAATCAAAGGGGTGGCTGTGCAGGACAGCGCAATGCGGCTTGGCCACGGGTGCGAGCTGGACCACCACCTCCCGGATGCCGGGCTCCTGCGCGCCCTCGAAGTTGACGGAGCGGGCAAAAAGCCACCTGTGGTCTGTTCCAAATCATGATTGTTTACTTCAGCTTGTCAATCCAGTTTGGAGCACTTGTTGTAGGCATCGCCGGCACCATAGTGCAGCATGAGCTCCGTATCAAGGTCTGTAATGAAATGCACAACAGCACCTCAATGCATAACTAATCACTTCTTGGGTATGCAACTTGAGCAAGTTGAACCACGGACAAGTTGGCAATCCTGTCCACAGGCCGGTACCATCCGCGTACACACCAGCAATGCCCATGAGGTTGCCGCCGTGGATCTGCGTCTTTCTTTCATAGAACTCTCATCAGCACACTGGTCGGCAAGGCAAACAGTTAACAAGCAAATGTGCATGGCCTTCCAACGAGTTGTTCGAACAGTCCTTGCATGCACATGCGCACATGCGCCAGTGACTTCTCTGAATATCAATCAGCATAATTCTTTGCGCTACCTTTTGACGAGAAGGACTTCGGCTTATATCGAGGCTGGCTCTGCAGGTGCTTCTGCACCCTTAACAGAAACGGAACAACTGGAATCAAACCATACTTTGATTCTGGACGTATACTCATTGTCTGCCACAAAACACCGCCTTGCTGACACTTAATGGGACAGGAAGAGACCTGAACTCCAACCCTTTGGCTTGGGTTGTGCAAGCTTCTCCGAATTGAATTTTCACAAAGCTGCGGCCAGAACTTCTAAGGAGAGCTTGACACGTTGCAAGATTTGTAGATCTTGTTATTTCAAACACTGCTCCCTTCAATGCATCTTTGACAAGCCAGAATGTACCCCATTTCGGGGGTAGGCCTGACAGACTAGAAGCCTCAGTGTGTCAAAACCATAAACACTTGCCTGTCAGCCTCCCTGATCTCAATTACACTCTCTTGCCCACTATCTTGGACATCTGAGAGTAATGGGCCCTGCGATGTTCACTCGTGCGCCGTGCCCTGGTTGCGAGTCCCACTTGTTTGCAGGAGATTGGCTCGTTCGGTGATAATGGCCGCCTCCATGCACAACATCGGCACAGCAGTGACCGCAGCGTGTTCGCCATCGCCATGATGCATGAACACCTGGTCTTGGACCCGGTGTTTTCAAATAAACGCCCACCTACTACCAATCACTGCTTGTGCAAAAGCATCCTCACATGCTAATGCCCGACTTCCTTTTGACATGAAATCTGCCTAGATCTTCTCTGCCAGCAGCTCAGATGTCTATTATGAGTCTATGAACCCATGGGCGTTTATTTTAGAAACCACCAGAGCCAGACCGAGTCCACATGCTTTGTACACGCTTCCGGGAGCTCCATCTGCAAGCTCACCCGCAAGGAGTCTCTTACGCTTAGCGAGGTCTTTGCAAGAGCCTGGCAGGCTTGAAACGCCTGCCTTTCTCGTTGAACATTGGCAAGTAACCCCCTGCAAGTCCCCAGCAGCAGAGCAAACTTACGATTTGAGCGTACCTTCTCTCCGTAACAGCGTCACTGGCTCTGCGCTGCCGCGCTGGATGGACAACAAAATCTGCATTCAGTATATTAGCTGGTGAGGCACTTCCCAGTGGAGTCTGCTTGTACAGCTCGATCTGCTGCACTGTTGAACGGGCCTGCTGCCTGGCATGCTACCGGCTACATGTAAGATGAAAAGACCCAGCATCACATCCATTCAGCCAACGTGCCATGCATGCACAGACCGCGATACACACTGACACTCTGGGGTCAACTTCCAGGTATGCGGCCTGTGGAAACTCCGCCGAGAAGTCAGAACGTCCAGGTTTGTGCCTGGACTCAGCTCTAGGCTCAAGGCCCACATATCAAAGAACTCCGTGCTTCAACGCTGCCGGGAGACTCGCCTACCAAGAGTTTTGAAGCAAAAGTCGCCTGACGTTTTCTTGCTTCACATGCCGATTGACCGCATTGTATGCTTTTAGGTTGCGTTGGGTAATACATAGAGTTGCCTTGCTTGTGGATCTGCAGGAACACGCAGGATAAGCCCCCCCTGCAGAATCAAAATTGGAAATGGGGACCCTGATTTGTCTCAACGTCAGTCGTCACCTGACCACAAGCCCCTGCCTGTCAATTGGCATAAGTTGTTATGCCAGCGCCTGTTTCCAAGCCGCAGATCTTGCAGCGCAATCAGGCCATGTATTTGCAAGCAAGGTACCATGCACGTGGCGGCTCGTGCAGTACAAAGTTCAGAGCCCTCACTTTGAGCTTGCTTGGGAACGTGACGAAGACCCTTCTGAACCTGGGCCCATCAAGCAGGAATGCATCGCAGTTTCTGTTGGAGACTGCGTAAGGGCAATGAGGGCTTGGCCCATCCTCATCTTCTTCAGCAAAATGAGTCTGCACAGCACCCGGAATGGCTCTGCTTGCAGCTGGCCAGCTTGTCTGCAGGACCTGCCACATGCGCATGTTGTTTAGAAATGCCTCATCGAATCCCGAAATGTAGGCGAACCTCTTGCGGGGGGTGTGTCCAGCCAGCGCCCAGGCTTTCAATGACACCCCAATGAAAGATAAGGTCACCTGCACAGTTGGCGACACCATCCGCACACTGTCAGTTGTACCAAACCTTCGCCAAACGCTTTGGCTTTGAGCTCGAACACGATGCCTCGGAAGGTTTACAGCACACAGTACGTTGCCCTGCATGATTCAACAACCGAGCAGCCGATCTCATGGTCGCTTCATTAGATCATAAATACGACGGCTTTTCGCTGTATTGTCTTAGGTGCCAGCAGTCACCAGCTGATGGCGCAGCTGGGTGGAACCACG